ACATTCTAAGAAAACAAGAACAGCATACCACATGAAGTGTTTTGTGGAATTTGTGTGTGCCTGTGTTTTTTCTCTCACTGTGTGCCCCCCAAAATGTTATCGCTGTTGGTTAGCAGCCACTGACCCAAAAAAAGGCTCCCTACATTGATGTAAAGCATCCTCTGAGTTGCTGCTGGTAGGAGTTAAATATTCTCCTCCTAATTAAAGACATTTCTAGAACTGGCTAGCTGTGCCAGCTGCATCAGTGACCAGATTGCATAAAAGCACATTTTTAGGATACCAAACCTATCACGAGATGGGCCAGAATTAACACACAACTGCATACCTGATATAAAAGCTAAAAAAAATAATTGCCACGCACCTTTCAACAGTATGTATAGCACACACACAAACTTATGAGACTCTCAACCTGTCAGATTTATTTTTTGTTAACATTAAAATTGACAGTAAAAAAAACTTGAAATAAATGTTTCAGTTCTTACTGCAGGCACATCAAGGTTTTTTTAATTTCTGGATTTTAACAACAAATGGTCTGGTAGCACTTTATAGACTATCAAAACATGTAGATGTATCATGAGCTTTCGTGGGCACAGCCCCCTTCTTCAGATGACCGGAGTTTTGAGTTTAGGATGTGCAGATCCAAAATAAATAGGAGAGAAGGGGCGGGGAGTGGGAGGGGGGTGACAGGGAGCTAGCGAGAATCTGTAAGTATCTGAAGATTGGGTAGTTAAAATGAAGCAGGTAAGAATCAAAGTCAATTGATAGTATCCTTCCTGACATAGGAGTCTACACAAAGAACTTTTGGACTAGTGACTAAGTAAAACAGAAGGCTTAAGAAAATATCTAACAATGAAAAGCTGCTACTTATTCAATTGATAACATACTTAGGCAGAGAGTCCCAGAAGCACAATAGTCATGTTCTTTATCAAAAAATGTGAGGTGTCATTTTTAGACCCAGTTTTACATTAAGGGTTTTTCTTCCCAAAGTTGTATTTTAAAGGAAATTTTCATGTCAAGTTTTCAAACTCATGTAGGTTCCTCAGAGCATCTGTTTTGCCATGAAAAATTTAGATTTTGGGGGGGGGATATTATAGGTAGGTCTTATCTTCTATCGACAGCATGCTTTAAGAAGCAACATGACTGTATAGCCATAAACCTGGCATTACTTACAGTAGTGGGCAATAATAGTACAAATATACAAGAATGAGTGTATTCAAAACTGGATTGGGGGAAATGGAGTATCTCATCCACCTTCCTTTTCTTGTCTTGAAGGTTAGAAGGGAAAGCTGAAGTTTTCTTGGGGTTAGTCTGGAGCAGTGGTCCCCAATCTTTCAGAGCTGCTGGGCACCCGGGGGTGGGGCTGCACACGTGCCGGGAGGCCAGGGGCGGGGCTGCCCACATGCCAGGCGCCCAGGGCCTGCATCGCACATGCCATACGCCCGGGGTAGGGTCGCCCATGCGCCGCACGCGCAGGGCCAGCACTGCACATGCGCCGCGTGCCGGGGGCGGGACCACCCCAAATCATTCGGCGGGCACACATAAATGCCCCGGAGGGTGTTATGGCCCCCGTGGGTACCCCGTTGGGGACCACTGGTCTAGAGCAATTTGAGAATCTATGCCAGAAAAACAAATCTAGAAGTTCTTAGGTAGGCAAATGATATTAGAGAGGTTTCTCACCTTTTTCATAATGCAGGTCTCATGTTACTAGGCCCTTTTTTCTAATTTTCCTTGCTCTGTCATTGCCACCTCTTTATGAGCACAAAACATTTGTATGGTTGCTAAAGCAATTACATTTGAAATATTACTTTCCTAAATATTTACCATATTTTTTATGTCTTAGTTCCACATTTTTTGTCTGTTTATTTTAAGAAAAAAACCCTGTTTACTTGTGGTCAACATTTCATTTCCCCCTCCTTCCACTTTAATTTCTCACGAACCAACACCCTATGAGCAGCCAGCTTTCTGTGTACCATCAGAAAATACTTCTTGGACTAGATTACTAGTTATATTTTTAGGACTAAATATTACAAAACCACTCAAATTCAGTAGCACTATAGGAAATGAAAAGTATAACGTAATGCACACGAGGAGCTGCAGTCTCTGCAGCCGTTATGTATGAAGAACAAGCAAAATAGTATTTTAGGACAAATGAACAAAAGTTCATCTTCAGCAGTTATAGTTTTAGAAGAGTACAGTATCCACTAAACTACCTCACACTCACCCTTTCTGCTTTTACACACTATGGCTGCATCTACACTGCAGGCTTTTTGTGCAAGAACAAGTGTTCTTGCGCAAAAACTTGCAGAGCATCTACACTGCACGCATGTTCTTGCGCAAGTAAATTTACAGTACAGCGTCAGAAAACAGGGCTTCTTCTGGAAGAGTTATTCCTCTTCCCATGAGGAATAAGCCCTCTTGCGCAAGAGCTCTTGCACAAGAAGGCAGTGTAGACAGGCAACATGAATTTCTTACTCAAGAAACCCCTATGGCTAAAATGGCCATCAGAGCTTTCCTGCGCAAGAGAGCATCCACGCTGCCATGGACGCTCTTGCACAAAAGCACATGGCAGTGTGGATGCGCTCTTGTGGAAGACCTTTTGCACAAGAACTCTTGCCAAAAAGCTTGCAGTGTAGATGTACCCAAAAGTTCTAGCCACATTTCCACCCTGTAGATGATTACAGAACACTGGAACTGGAAGAGACCTTGAGAGGTCACTGAGTCCAGTCCCCTGCCCTCACAGCAGGACCCAGTACCATCTAGACAGCCCGATAGGAAGTTCCATCTGTTCTGACAACACTAGTAACTTTACTTCTGGTGAAATTCTGCACTACTGTAGTGCACCAAACTTTTGTCTCTACCCCCACCCCCCCAAAAAAACATTCTGCCTGGGAGATACTGCAATTACACCTTTCACCCATGAGGGACTGCTGTGGAGACTGTTTTCCTCACTGCACCCTTCCTGTGGAGCCAGGTAAGAAGGCACAGATACAGGGAAGACAGAGCAGGGTACACACCACTGGGTTATAACAAAATAGGATGGGGACACTGTGCTAGGGGTAGAGTAGGAATGCAAGGACACTATGAGATGCAGTATGAATGGGGGTGTAGAGGCTCACATGGACAAAAGGTAGTTAAAGAGTGCAAGGGACATATGGGAAGAGATGGTTCAGGGACATACTGGAACAGGGAGAAAGGGTGGCTAAGTGAAGGTACAAGAATACATGGGGACAGGGCAGATGTGCCTGACTGAATGGGACAGACCGGGGGGCAGAAATGAGTCAACTGCAGCATAAGGAAAGTGCCCCAATTCCCTAACATGCCTTCTCCCCTGCAAAAAACTTCATCTGTCCACAGCCAACAATTCTCCAGCTTCACTCCCCAGTTACTTCTATCAATTCTTCCTTCCTTAGATTTGACTCCCACCAACCTCCGCATTGCTTCTGAGGAGTGTGGGAAATAAGTTTCTGAAGTGTACATGAGTTATTCATAGTTTGGTATTAGTATGCCCAGTAAGGAACTTGTATCAGAAAAACTTTGACTGGTCTGTCCTGTTACATGCTCACTAACAGGTTTTTTTAAATAAATTCTCAAACTAAGAAAAGCTAGCATAATTGTATTGTTAATTTGGCAAATAAAATATGCCTAACTTAAATCATCATGCAGAACTTGTACATAAACCTTTCACCAAATGCTGCACAAGCACCTGTGCATGCCTATCATACTTTTGCTATACCAGTATTAGAAAACATTAAGCTAGCACACATTTTTAGTCTTGCATTGTCAAATGGGCACACTTTATTTAAAAAATACTCAAGTAGGGGTGTACTCACAGGTTAATTTACATACTAAAATTTTAAACTCTTCTATACTAGCATGTCAGTTATCATGAGGCTATACATTAATTAGTGGATAGCAAAGAGCAAAGTGTTTTTTGGTTTTTGTTATTTCTTTATTTTCCCCACTATCAATAAACTGAATAGGAGCTGTAACGAAAAGGCATATTCAAGCAGTAGTTTTCAATTGTACAAACACTGCTGCAGATGGTTAATCTTACAAATGGGAGCAGAACCTCTGATGAATAGGAATATTCACACAATGTTAAAGTGTTTTGAGTGCGGCAGAAAGAAATTGCAATCCAAATCTTTAATAAAGCTATATGATATTACAAGAAGTTAAAATGGGCTAGATTGTAGGCTTAAAGATTATATGTTAATGATTTCTTGGCAATTGGGTTTGGGCCATTTTTGGTACCGCAACATAAAAAGACCTAACTTTTTTTCCCTGCTTTTTTGGTGTTTAAATCTTAGCTATCGGGCATGTCAAAGCCAGACTTCCCCATTTTTGCTTGTCAACACAAGGGTATCTCTAATGTGCCTTGCACTTCATCTGACAAGGAATCCAGGCATGTAATCTTTTAAGATATGTTATGTAAAGTGCTTATTACTGACTTTGTCAAATCAGTGATCTCTATTTAAAAATGTTCTCCCTTCTCTACTTTTCATGCAAAAATCCCATTGATAAGATTTCATATAAAACCTCAATTTCTAATTAAAAAAAAAAAACCAGGGAAAAAAGCCTCTCTTACGTTCAGATCTTTATGCATCGTAAGCCAGTAAAAGGTTCAGAAAATACGTGTGGTGGTCATAATAGTAATCACAATCAGCAAGCTCTTCTAGGTCTTACATACTAACAGCCACATTTTGTTTTAGTATTTAAAAAGATACATTATACTAAATTCAGAGTTTTAAAATGTCTACAGAAAACATTTGTTTAATTTGCCCACATCTACCCCATTGCAAGTGGGTGTGATAGATTGGATATTTGCATCCAGAAGCCTCTTGTCATAATAGTATTCTCCTTTGATGAAAAAAGGAGCCAACTAATCAACTTTTTAAAATAAGTTTAATTAACCTAATTATAAAATTTAAATAGTTTATTTTATGCAACAACGTGGAAAAGTCTAACAAATGATGAATCATACCAAAAAATTCAACTTCTGCTGTAGTAAACAGGAATATTTTCATTTATTTTAGATGTCAATTCCAATTACTCTTTAGAACTCTCGAACAATTCCTTGAAAGCATGTTTAATTGTGATGACATTTATTGACGTGATATGCTCTATAACAAACTCAAGACAACAAGAAACCAAATACAAAAAACCCAATTACCAGATAGGCACTTTGAAATCAGCTATTCTATATATAGCTCACAGTTAACACTGCTTGCTTATATGTAGTCACAGTTCATCAAAGGCTACTGAAGAATAGAGCTAATATTCCTTTGATGCATAAGCATTAGGATCCAAATCATGCAAGAAAGCTGATTTTTGAAAATCTTAGGAGGAAAAGTGAAAAATGAAAGCAGCCAAAAACTGAAGCATTTACAACCATCTGAATAAGGCCCTTTAGTATTTATTTTAAATATGTATGTTTAAATCCCTTCATTCTCAGGTAAAAGGTTAAGAGGCTGAGAGAGATATCGTCTGCTTGGACGAGGATACTGGAGGTTGGCAGTGTCAGCATCGCAAGAGCGCTCTATCAGAGGAGGAGGAGGTAGGAGCTGGGCATAACTGGACCATCTTGATCCAGCCCGTGGGGAATCCAGAGGGGGAAAGAAATACCTGAAACAAACAATGAAGACAGGAACAAAAACACCAGAACAAAAAAAACAAAAACAAAAACAAAAAAAAGAGAAAAGTAGTAAATACTAGGAAAACCAAAGGGGAGAAAGACATGCTGGAAAAACAAAGCTTTAGTATATCCATGCCAAAACCAATGAAACATAACAGCAGAAATTAGGGTTCTAATTAAAAACAAGATTGAACAAGTCTTGAAACTGTTTTTTAAAGGAAAATGTATACTCTTGTCCACTGAAAGCCTCACAAAGAATACTGTAAATACATTCTTAATATGCATTTTACAAAGAAATGTTACTTTGTAAATCAAAATGATCTTGTAGCAGTCATCAGAATCATTGATGCACACTGCCTCCTAGAATTCATGCAACTTATTAACAGCTTTTAATAATGCTTCATTTGCAACACCAGGCAGACATTAAATATTATGCAAGTACATATGCTGCATTGCATCCAATCCAGATGAATTTTACTGCAATTTACTAGACCATATGTAAAAACATCAGATTGTTTTTACAATACTTAGATATAACAATATACATTTACAAAGAATGAGTCTTTTCAATTAAATACAATCTTGTTATGTATTTACATACTTCTGCAGAAACCTCAGAACAAGCTAAAGTTTTCTGATAACCACAATGCTCAGAAAATGCCATGTCATTCTTATTTAACTTATTATGATTTACCCGTAATATTTATGTATTTTAATATAACTATTAGAGTATCTGTAGACATTACCTATCTTGTTTTTTTGTTCTGAGAATATTTACAGAATGGAGTGGACAAATTATACAATCCTGGAACAATACACAGTTAAAGATGTATGTTGATCTGAATTTAGGTGATTACTGTACACTTCAGAATGTTGTGCTGATGCAATCAGTTATTCTATGGAATCACACTATAGGAACATACTAGTATATATTTAAAAAAGTATTTTAGTGAGCCTGAAGCATGACAGTACTTACAAAATATTTCTTTGAAGTAGTTTGAATTTATAAATGAAGCAACACCACACTAAGTTAAACTATTATCTGTACAGTTGTCAAATCACACTGTAATCTGATTTCTTTAAGACTAACATTGCAGTATATTAAAAAGTAATCACAAAGCTGTAATGTTTAAGAATCAATTATATATTTTAACACTACAAACAAAAATTACTCAAAACAATCTTAATTAACTCACTTTAATAATCATTATGCAGTCTTCTTCCTCCTCCCAACCCAGCTAAGGACAACAATCCTTTTAAACCATATACACTAATCCCTTAGATTCATGAGCTTTCCTGGGTGGAAAATCATTTTTGATGGCAATTTGTCTCAACAAGAACCCTTTCCAATTATCCCTCTTTCAGAAGTTTCAACAGCGAGTAGTACAAAAACAGTATACAGTGTAATTTTAAAGAGGCATTTTGAATTGCGTTTAGTAGTTATCAGCCTGCTGGTGTCTTGGGAGAGCTCAAACGGCGTTGGGGAGGGGAAAAAGGAGTTGTCTTTCCATTCCTGTGTGCATGCAACAAGCAGCAAAACAGCAAAGTTACTCCAGTTAGGTTGATATCAGCTCTGTTTTCTGTTAAAAAGGACATAATACAAACGGAGAAGGGAAAATGCATCACAAATCTAGACACAGGTGGTTATAAACACAATAAGAACACAGCACTACTGAGTGATTTTTCTAGTCATTTATTTTCATGTTTCAATCATTCCAAAACTATTTTTATAACTAACCCAGAGTATGGAAAGCCTAAGTGATGTACTTACTCTGATAAAAGTTCATTTTCAAAAGATTGCAATATTATAGTTTAACTATCCTTTGCTGTGTAAATGTACAATGTATTGTCAGGGCGTAGTCTAAAAGCAAACTAATGGTGGTCCAATCTAATTTGGTCAATAGTCAATATATTGCTTTGCTTTTATTCAACTTAAAAATCACGAAATCATGTTCCAAGTATGATTTTTACACTTTCAACCCAATATAGTCACAAAGCAAAGATGATAAATACTTTTGCACATAATACGGCTCTATCATAAAGGACAGGGCCCAGTATAGTCAGAGATTCCATGGCTGTAGACTTCAAAGTGGAATTCACCCTCCTGCAGAATTATGAACAAGAATTGAACATTTCTCTTTTTTTAAGTATGTTTCTAGTCCTTAGAATTGTGGAGATAACCTTGGAAACATATCAAGGAAACATACACCAATGCAGTAGTGGCTGCCTGAGTCTGCCGAGAGCCTGAAACAACAAGCGCTAAAGTTGTAAACTGTCCCATCCGAGTCAGGGCCCTGTGGAGTCTACAATTCCACAGCTGCAGTTAATAGCATTTTTGCAAGATGATATCAAGTTCAACACTTTTGCTGCAACCAGCTGATTTTTGTCTTCCTGTCCTCCTGGGATTTGGTCTGCAGCTGCCTCTTGGCTCTCTAGCCTTCCCCACAAGGGAAAGTTAATTATATTATAGTGCATGATCCCTGCACTCTTCCACTGAGGGCCAAAGCTGGAGTTCAGCTTACAGCCAAGAGAAGGAGGAGCCAGGAGCATAGGCTGGCCAGCTGGACTGCCAGGATAGCAGAGCAACAGCTGACACTTGAGAAATCTGGGAGATAACCCGCTGAAGCAGGCTACAAGCTTCCCCCTTCCCTAGTACACAGAAGGAAAGGAGCTTCTGAGCTGGGCCTCCTGGACAACATCGCGGGAGCCAAGGCTTGGATTGTGGAGCCAGGCCACCTGGAGAGCATAGGAAAGATACCCATCCTCAAAAATAATCACTGAATTTTATGTGAATGAATATTTTGAACTATGAACCAAAGGTGCATTTGCATAAGAATGGAAATGAAAGATATTTCACAGTAATAGTACAAAATCATGTTGCCACAGAATTTGGAAATTTCTGCTGTGGAATTTGGTCCCATTGCGCTGCAGAATACACAGAGCCCTGAAAAAGAATATCTGCTATACATTGGAATCTATGATTGCGTTACAGATGCAAAATTAATCACTTTTCTAAATCTTAGTGTAACAGGAAAAAAATCACTAGTGCAATACAAAAATTGTACCACACAAACATAAGAGAAACAACCAAAATGAGAGGGAACAGAGTGGAGTCGGTTCACAGAAATTAAGTGTATTCAGAAATACTAAGGTCTACGTAAACGTTAGCCTACCTGCCAGCAGCTGATCCATTTAATGAATTCTGTAGGCTTGTATTGGCTGAACCTATGGAAGTATTAAACATTCCCTGCTGAGAACCACCATTGACTGGACTCCCATTACCTTTCAATATACCAGTGCACTTCCAGTTATCCATGTAGTTAGCTGCAAAGATATAAGAAGTAACTTTTTATTTCCGACCCTAAGAGCATTTGATAGGGTTACAACATTTTGGGCAGATTCTCAGCTTGTGTAATACTGTGAAGCACCCATTAACTCAAAGGAGCTATGTCAATTTTAAGACCACTTCAGATCTAGCTCTTGAAATGTCTGACATTCTCTTCCCATCCACCACTTTGTCTGATATTTAAGTTCTTGTGAAAGGTATCTATACAGACCAGAGTCCTTAAATCAATCAATTCTTTCTCTTTCTCTTTCTCTCTTTCTCTCTCTCTCTCTCTCTCTCTCTCTCATCTACATTATTGGGTCCGCCAACTGACAGACCGAATGGAAGTCCGTGAATGATGGAAATGATTAATTTTTCCTGTCACTTTGAATACATCTATATTTTGCAATTTCCACTTTATTAAGCTTAAAAATGTCAATGTACAATAAATCTGAAATATACAAGTGACAAAGATTACCTTTCCAATAAATTATTACATAGAAAAATGTTAATACTCATAACATTACAAAGTACTAGCTGGGCACATTGAAGATTAAGTATCTGTACTGTTCAAGATCTAGAGAAAGTAGATTTTTCACTGTTCTGCCACCGACGGAAGACAGCAACAGAAATGGTAACTTTCGTATTTTAGAGTTTTGCATACATCTCATATTTACTCCTCACTGCAGCAGACAAGTTCATGAGATAAAAGGGCACAATGACTTCTACTACTTTAACTGAAAAATTTACAAGACAAGTTCTGTTGGCTCTTACTGTGCTCTGAATCAAAGCCTGTAAGATTCTTTTTCTTTTTACATGTATTTAAAAAACACTTACAGTCCACAAACTAATTCAAAGGAATATGCATTCCAGGAAATAAATCAATTTTCCCATAACTACAGGTCAATCTTTAATCTTTCAGCATTTGACAAAGCAATCTAAAATGCGTGCCCCACAGAACTCTTACCTTTCCACAACCTAACACAGCCATCATCACCAGATGATGCAAGCACTGTGCCTGTAATGTTCCAGCTCACTCGCCAGACTTGGGAATTGTGATTATCAAACTGAGCCACTATCTGAATTTCAAATTTTGTTAAGCCTCCAGAAGACGTCAATTCTTTCCTGTTTAGAAAAAAAAATGAGTAAAAATTCTGCATATACTTGTATTGTAAGATAAATGTTCCTAATACTGAACAAGAAAATAAAAAGTATCAGCTATGTTTGCCAAGAAGGTATGAAACAATATTTTCCTCAGACAAGTACTAAGACATGTAAAAGAAAATTTTGTTGTGGTAGTTTATTGGTTGTATATAACATAGAATCACAGAGCTGGAAGAGACCTCAGAAGGTCATCAAGTCCAGCCCCCTGCTCTAGGCAGGACCAATCCCAACTAAATCAACCCGGCCAGGGCTTTGTCAAACCGAGACTTAAACACCTCTAGGGATGGAGACTCCATTACTTCCCTAGGTAACCCATTCCAGTACTTCACTACCCTCCTAGTGAAATAGTTTTTCCTAATATCCAACCTGGACCTCTCCCACCACAACTTGAGACCACTACTCCTTGTTCTGCCATCTGTCACTACTGAGAACAGCTTCTCTCCATCCTCTTTGGAACCTCCCTTCAGGAAGTTGAAGGCTGCTATCAAATCCCCCCTCAATCTTCGCTTCTGCAGACTAAACAGACCCAACTCCCTCAGCCTCTCCTCATAAGACATATGCTCCAGCCCCCTAATCATTTTGGTTGCCCTCCACTGGACCCTCTCTAATGCGTCCACATCCTTTTTGTAGTGGGGGGCCCAGAACTGGACACAATACTCCAGATGTGGCCTCACCAGAGCCAAATAAAGGGGAATAATGACATCTCTGGATCTGCTGGCAATGCTCCTCTTAATGAAACCTAATATGCCATTAGCCTTCTTGACTCATATCCAGCTTCTCATCCACTGTAGACCGCAGGTCCTTTTCTGCAGAACTACTACTTAACTGGTTGGTCCCCAGCTTGTAACAATGCTTGAGATTCTTCCGTCCCAAGTGCAGGACTCTGCACTTGTCCTTGTTGAACCTCATCAGATTTCTTGTGGCCCAATCCTCCAATGTGTCTAAGTCACACTGTACCCTATCTCTGCCCTCAAGCGTATCTACCTCTCCCCCTAGCTTAGTGTCATCCGCTAAGAGCAGTTCTTTCTGGATAGGCTTAAATTACTGATGTTTTCTTCCATCACCAAAGCATATCAGCACAAGACTATGTCCCTGCCCCCCCCCCCCCCCATATCTATATAAAATGCTTTTCCTGATGGATGACAATGTTCCTGCTGGGTGACAGAATGATGTCATCATCTTGTCAACCTCAATAGGTTCTCTCAGTGAAGTGAAAGTGGTCGGGGGAAGGTAGGTGTGAGTAGCAAGCAGAGGGCACAGTCCCCCAGTATGCTTTTATGTTAAGAATCTCAAAAGCTCACCTCACAGGTTTCAGTGTGAAAATTCGTACATCTTTGGTAGCTACAGCTAAAATATGAAAAGATCTTCCCAAGTTCGGAGCAAATGCAATATCATGTACAGGATCAGTGACTGTCATAAGAGTTTCTGCTTTTGCATACTTCCTGAAGAGCAACAGACAGGTTATTCATTTCATGAATGCTGACATCATAGCCAGTGATGCAAACAACATGGAGATAACAGAGGGAATTATTGTACAGAGAAGGGACCAGTAATCAAATTAAAAACAAGTATTAATAGTTATAAATTAGAAATCATCATCATCTGTGTTCAACAATTAACTTCTGACTGCCTCATTTGTTGTGCGAGTACCATTATACTAGGACCCAAGTCTGCTTTATTAGAAAAAACTACATTTGCTCTACTGTCATTTCAGACAAAATCTGGTCCAGAACAAGGTATGAATCCTGCCTCATGCACTATTCAGGACCCTCTTGAATGAGGCAGAAATTCTAATATATGTGATCTCGCCTTAATTTTATGATAAAACTATTAAATTTCTTCACATTAGCATCTACACATTTTCTTACTGGTGTGCCTAATTTAACAAATCTAATGCTTTCCTAATAGTCTTTAAAGAATGTTGATTATTCAAAGGACTTTCTACCATCAACTGAAAATATTTTACATTTTAAAAACATTTTTAAAAGGTAGTGATGTAACACTCATTGTTCATATTAGCATTTAAAAACAAGAATTCAAGCACTGGACTATTTAAATCTTGGCCCTAATCTTGCTAAGAGTTATATATCTGCTTAACTTTAAGTGCATTAAGTAAATCTGTGCACGACTGGAGCCTCAGATCTCTCTATGAAAATTCTTTGTGATACTCCTGGGGTTTGTGTGTTTGGAATGACAGCACTAGTCATGGTCCATGATCATGATGTGTAACATCAGTCAACATTCTGAAATGATTCTTCTACCCATTCCAGGATACAGGAACATATGCATTAACTACAAAGATGCAGTATTTTGCTACTCAAAAGTGTATTTTCTACTTCTATCCATGCACAAGAATAAAAACTATTTAACTACCACACTGTTATAAACCAGCAAATAGCCATTCTAAACCCATCACATCAGATTTGTAACCTCAGAGTTACAAATGCCCCAGGAGTAGAGATTGTAACTCAAATATTTGCAACTCTAAACAAAACAAAAACGTTATGACGGTTCAAGTTTATAATTGAACATTAACTTAATACAGCTTTGAAACTCAACTATGTAAAACAAAATGCAGAAAACGCATTTTTTTTAGTAGTTTGTTTAACATTGTGCATCCTCTGTTTTATTTTGGCTTGGGTTTTTTGTCTCTGCTGCTCCCTTCTTGTATATTTCTGGGTCCAAATGAGGTGTGTGGTTAACTGGGGTCCAAATGAGGCGTGTGGTTAACTGATCAGTTCATACATATGAAACTGTAGTAGTTTATTCCTTAAGTTACCTGGTGTTTTCATTGTATTCATAAATCTGAACCTTAGCCAGTATATTTGGACTGTTGTCATCGCTTCCTACAGCTATCATCGGAGAATGAGCTCGAGAGCTACAAGTGAAAAATAAGTACCATTACATTTACAAAGTACTATTGTGTACAGCACAATTTATTTAAGTACTACAGACAAAAAAAATATTTTTAAGTTTGTTAGACTGCGAAGTCAAGCATTCAAAAGTTTACAACTAACAGATTTTCAATTCCCTGTGCAATTAGAATTCTGTCCCCTAGAACGTCCATCTTCCTCACTGAATGAGGCAAGGTCCCTGTGGAAAAAGAAGCATAGAACTGACGACTATCATTTAATGCATACTAGGGATGTGAACGACTAGCCAACAATCCAATAAGCAAATGCATATCAGATAGTCGACACACTAGTTTTATAGTCCCTTCCCCTCCACTCATTGCTGCCTCTATCAGAAAGCAGCAGCAGGGGAAGGAGGATGCTTCAAAGCAGTAGTTCCACGTGAAGCCCAGGACTAGACCCTGTGCTCTGTGCAGTGCTGCTGCTTTGAAATGCCACATACAGCCCAGGGCCAGCTGGGGATTCCTTCACTGACCCTGAGCTCCATGTGGCACTGCCACTTTGAAATGCTGCGGGAAGCAAAGGGCCAGCAGGAGAATCCCCAGCTGGCCTGGGCTGGTCAAAGGCAGAGATGCCCTTATCAGCTACTTGACTAGTCAATGCAAATTACATCAACTATTCGATTAGACAATTAATCTAAATTTAACATCCCTAAAGCATATACACATGGAGCTAGAATTAGAATTGTAATTATAAATTGACCATGTCCTAACTTGTGTTTGTCTTTTGCAAATTAAATAATTTTAATTACTTAATTTGCTACATAATTTCATAGGGGTTTTTGAATTTGTTTTTAAATAAATTAAAAGGTAAAATAAACTGTTTGTAACTTTAACAACTTGCACATCACATAATCAATCAGGAGTGTTTAAACCTGAATCTTCAGAACAGAAACACAGATTACCACTATGTAAGCTATACAGCTAAGTACATTAGTCTCCTGGAGCCAGCTATTTTCCCAAAAGGAGGAGTGGATTGCCAGAGCTAGGGGTGAAAAAAAAATCAAAAGCAGTGTAGTCCTGTTTGGCTCCCCCAATCCTTATGATTGGCATTGGAGCAACTCTTGCCCCATGTATCCCCACACCCCAAAGAGACTGGTGTCATGAGCTGGGTCTAGAGCAGGGGTGGGTAAGATGCAGCCCAAGGCTGCCTCACCAGAACCCTTAGGCACAGAGCAGTTCATTCTGCTTTAAACAGCTGGCAGCGCTCTGATCTGGACACTGGAGAAGGAGACGGAGGCTTCACACACTGACTCTGCCCCTCCCAGCAAAATCTTTCAGCTCCCATTGGCCAGCTTCCAGACAATAGGAGCTGAGAAATTTTGCTGGGGGCAGAGGCAGGGAGCAACGCCTTCTCCCTCCCCACACCCAGAGCAGAGCCACATGGAGCAGCAACCAGCCCTTATGACCAGCTCTGGACTGCAGCCAACAGGCAGAGAGCCTGCCTCAGGTTCCTATGAGCCACCTAGGTAAGTGTCTTCCATCCAGAGCCTGCTTCTGGCACTCCACCCTCATTTCTCTCTGCCAACTACCTCCCCAGGACACCACCCAAACTCTCTGCAACCCCTCATCCCACTTCCACTAGGTCTCACATCCCTCCCCCAGGTCAGAATCCTCTCCTGAAGCCATATCCCCTCCCAAATCCTGCACACCAAGACCCTGTCCTAGATCACAACCCCTTCACCCAAACTCCCTCTCACACCCAACTCCACCTCCTGCACTCCAGTCTCCTACCCCAAGCTCCCTTCTTGGTAGCTTAGTAAGGAACTTCTTGTCTCTCACTCCATCTCTCCTAAGGTGGGATCAAGGAGTTCTTGTCCCATCACAAGTCACAAGCAGCTAATGCGCTCCTAGAGCCATGTAGGATTTATTGAATAAGCCTACACCGCCTCTCTTAAGGCCCTCTTCCTTCCCCAAAGGCTGCTTTGCAAGGTCACTGGAATTTCCTGTTCGGCACGTGTTACTGCTTTAGCAGTGACATCAGCCTGGCCTCATAATGTTCAATGATTTGGGCAGACTTAGCATGTTTTCCTGAGGAACAAAAGTGAGCAAAAGGAAATGGCAGTATTTAACACTATATCTCAGGCAAATCTGAATGGCGTTTCATGAAACTCAAGATATTTCTATAGCCCAAAGAGCTTCCTCCAGTTAAATATCAAAGGCCTGCAGAAAAGAACACAAGAGACCTTCTCAAAGAAAGGGCTCAATAGTCCTTAATAATAAAGCTTTAGACAAGCTTAATGTAGAGATGCCTCCCCCCATCATTTCTTCTCAAACTCTCACAATTTAATTGAGCCAAACTATATCAAAGTCTTTAGTATTTATGTTTTCGTCTAGACCTGACAAAAATCTTTTGGATTTTTACTGAATTAATAAGTTTTAGATAAACTAATCTTTGGACTTTTCCTTCCTTCATTCTTTACACCTATCTAAATGATGCTATATAAAACTTACCTTGATGGATTCCAAGAAATGCAACTGCAGCTTAGTTTACATGAGATTTCATGCTGCAATGACCACTGACTGAGATTCATAACATCTGGAGCTTCATATATCCTCACTACTCCATCTGCTGAACAGGTTGCCAACATAAGACCCATATGTTTGGGAGCAAACTTCACATCTGTAACAGATGTCCTACTATCTACAAGAGTGGTCCTTTTCACCTGAAAATAAATGCAGTAATCATTAAATAACTGATGGATGGTTACAGGCATTTGTTCTTTAGTCACCAGTTTATGATGCAGATATGTGACCATATAAATTGCTACATACTAGTGCCCCAGGTTCTAGAGCTGTGGTGTCCACCACACTAACCACATGTTGCTATTTGGCTGGTAAAGTGTGGCTAGTTGGCTTGAACTATGTGGCTATTTGGCCGGTTGAGTGTGGCTAGTTAGCTATAGCAGTAGCCACCATAGAACAGTAAAACTCCATTGGTCCGGCATCTGACAGTCCGGCACTCCTGATGGTCCGGCACCAAACACATCAAAGTCAGGTTCCAAACCTGCTTTCAGGTGCAAAAGCTGTAAGTATCACCTGGGTAGAAGTTAACTCTAGGGATGTTAGCTATCTAGGTTAATTGAATAGTCAAATAACCACCTGAATTCTTAGCCATTAGTCCACTATTCTTTAGTCCCCAGGGGCAGGGCCAGCAGCCAGTGCAATCCAGCCCTATGCCCAGGGAGCCTCCTACCACCCCGCACTGCTGCCTCTCTATCAGAGGCTGAAGTGCAGGGTTCCAGACAGGGGCTGGTCTGCAAGGGAGACAGTTTAAAAACTAACGCCCCTCACAGACAGGCTGCCTGAGTCCCTGCACTGCTGCCTCTGATACAGAGTCAGCAGCACAGAGCAGCAGCAGTCCCAAAGTAGCCTCTGTCCATGGCCAGCACCAACACCACTGTGGACAGAGGCTGTTTTGCAGTGGCACTCCCTACCCGTGAGAGGCCCCAGCCCCTTGCAGGTAAGGGTTGCTGCTGGAGCAGCCTCTGCCCAGAGCAGGTCCAGGCTCACTGCAGATAGAGGCTGCTCCATGGCAGCCTCCTCCCCCTCCCCACTGCTGCCTCTGGTAGAGGCAGCATGGGGAGGGAGGGAATGCAAGTAATCGACTAGATTAACTGATAAGCATAAGCTTGTTTGTTAATAGACTAGTCCACTATTTGTTCACATCCCTAGTCAACTCTTCAAATTTCCACCCATCCATCATATTTAGAGTAATTAAATATTTTCAGTGCAAAAATCTTGGCATGTTAAAATCTGGTAGCAGCAAAAAAGGAGCTGAATATCAAAACAAAGGGTACCAGACTTATTGTTATAGGCTGTATATTGTTTGTGAGGTAGGTGGTAGCTGTCCTACATAAGTAAGGAATTCCAGCTGCATAGGAAGAGTCTAATGTGCTACACAGAATTCATCAATTTTAAGGTAAGCATTTTTTCCTTTGTGGATATTTTAACAGAGGGGACAGCAAAAAAAATATGTAATATAAAATCGGTTACATATTTAAAACTGCAGGTCTCACTCTATAATGAAGTTAAGAAAAAGGACACAGCTTGATGTTAGGAGACACTTGACATCTATTTGTCTATTTGATGAAAACCAAGCCATTCATTTAAAATTAGCATAGATAAAGTACAATCATAAGTTAACAAGCGCTATTATCAAATAAATGACTATTTTAACAGAAAAGCTCCATGGAAAAGGACACTCTCTCCAGTTCTATTTGGGAGTAGAAAATAGATTGAAGAAAAGAGAACTTCCGCCAGATTACAATAACTTGCAGTTTGGAACAATTTCAGATTTAGCCAAGTTCAATCCTCTGTTTAACTCTGGAGTTTTTGCAGCTGAAATCTTAATGCTGAACCATTAATAGGAGATAGCATAAAGAACAGGAGAATCTAAGTATGTGTGTGTCAAAACTAACAATATTTCAAGTCTCACCCAGTGACTCTGCCCTCGAAGTTTATCATTCGACTCTCCTACTATTTCTTCCCACACTACAGCAGTTCTGTCAAAAGAGCAGGAAGCCAGAACCTGTCCAAACTCAGGATGAGCCCATGTCACACGCCACACAGACCCACTGTGTGTCTGGAAGATAAAAAAAACAAACAGTCTGCTAAATATGTACTTAATTTGTAATCATGGGAAATGTAAAGTTAATATCTTGCTTTTAAGTAACGTCAAGTTTTCAAGGGAAATAAAGGATTATAGATGTAAAAGTTAAAAGTAACAAATCTAAAAGGCTTTTAGAATACTTCTTGAAGTATATTACTTACTGAAAGCCATGCTCAAAATTCCATAATCACTGCTAAGAACAACTACTGTAAGTTAACCGATAAAGTACTTGGATTTTTCTTGCAAGTTTAAAAATCACTACAATATACCCCTAAATTTGGAGAAGTGGTTAAAAAGCTAAACAATATGTTTTGACACACAAATTAGAACTATAATTTAAACTGCTGCCACCACCTCTGACTTCCTGGACATATTCCTCCGAAGTCCATACTGACCACAGCTTGTCTTCCTTCCTGCCTGCTACTCATTTGTAAAGTCTCTTGGACTGCCTACTTTCCTTCTTAGAAGGAAAGGACTACACAAGCTTCACCTGAGCTTCCAACTTTAGCATGCAGAAATCTTGTAATTCTAATTCCAATTATACAAACTGCAGTAAACTTAAAAGTTGACCACCTCAGTTCTCTCGTGTAATTTAGGGATGCAAGTCGCTACTCGGCTAGTCGCTTGCCCCTTGCCACCTCTGTATCAGAGGGAGCAAGGGGGGAGAGAGGGGAGCAGGAGCCAGTGCTGGGGGAAGCTGGCTTAAAATCCCATTCCTCCCAGCACCATCTCTGCAGGAGGCAGGGGAGGCAGAGGCACAGCGGAGGTAATGGCACAAGCCGGGATAGAGCAGTCCCAGCTTGAGCCAGGTCCCAGACACTGCATCTCTGCCAGGCTCTTACTACATTTAAAAGTCAGAGCCTCAGTGAACCACTACTTGAGTGGTCGATGAAAATGCCATCATCAACTTGATTAGCTTCCTAAGCACTATTAACAGGGCTCGCCAAGCAGCGGGGAGCCTTGCTTGCCAGCCGCGCTGCACAGCCCCACCAGCTTAAAATCAAATCGCCACGAGTGAGTAGATTGAATCATTTGTCAAGCCCTGACTATTAACATCCCTAGTGCCACTCTGATTTTTTTTGCAAATCAGATGTGAATACAAATGTATCTTTGCAGGGACTCTATTTTTAACAGCTGAAAAAATAACTTTTCACCACTTCCATTTTCATGTCCCATAACGAGACTAGGGATGTCAACATATACTGTACATGGTTAACTGATAAGCCTGGGTTTATAAGCATGGTTACACGCACTCCCTCTGCTAGCTCTGTATGCCGTGGAGCCATCCAACCAGCTACCAGTGCGCCAATTGCACCCCTTCCCCTGGCACATGCCAGCTCCCACAGAGCCACCTTCCCCCCGCTGCCTCCCACAGAGAAGCAGCACAGGGGCAGGCAGAAGCTGGTGCTCCTAGCAAGCTGGCTTTAAAGCAGCACAAGCACCGGCTTCTGAGGAGCCACCTTTCCCCTTCATGTTGCAGCAGTAATGGAGGAAGGGGAGGCAGAAGCCCGTACACATGGGAAGCCTGCTTTCAAGCATGTAAATGGGTAATCTCTAAAATATTCAGTGGTTACATATTGTACACAAATACATGTATTTTAACATCCCTAAATGAGACTAGAAAATAGTCCCACCGATACATTACAAAGTCTGTGCAACAATAACAAAAATAGTCCATTGTATCTTGTCTGTTCTGGCTGCTGAAATTGCTGTACATTTACTAAACAGATCAGTAAATGTAATGAAGTCTAGAGTACACAACCTCATTAAGCCTCTGCTTACATTTTAAGTGGTCTGAGACTGATGGACTTTTAGAAGTTAGAATAACTGGATTTGCAGACTAGTAAAAAGAAAATCGGGAAGTTTCTACTGTACAAAACTGTATAAGCCAGCAAATACTTGAGTAAAATGATTTACTGAATAAATACTGGGAAGTCTCTAGCATAACCATACTTAATTATACTTAAGTAATGCTTACCTTCCAGCTGGCAGTACAATGCCAATCCCCATTTTCAGTTTTGTCCCAAACCTATAAAGAAATAAAAATGCAATCATATATTTTACTACCTACAAGAAAGGAAGGAAAATAATGCTTATGAAACAATCCTTGCATACAGAGACACAATCCACATATAACATGTAGAATCTTTCCCCTCTGAAGACCCTGCCCATTCCTGCATACCTTTGCATCTACAATGAAGCAGTTGCGGGACTGAGGTGTGAAATCGACCGCAGGGTCAGCTGGGGACTACCCATTTGCAAAATATGAGCCTATTTTCTATTATAAAATAACTTATAAGGGACACATCCTACTCCCTTTATCATAATCTCAGAACAGCATGAGAACTCCAAAACCTCTTAGTTTCACATTAAGGATGTTAACTAATGAGTGATTTACTAGTCGAGTAGTTGATGGAATTTCCATTGACTACTCAGCTAGTGGATAGGCACTTTCTCATTCCTCCTTTGAAATATACAATATGCCACACGGAGCCCGGGGTCAGCTCCATGCAGTGCTGCCGCTTCAAAACACCAAGGCTGCATTTCAAAGGGGCAGCGCTGCACAGAGCCCAGGATCAGCTGTGTGGCGCTGCCCCTTTGAAACGCCGCCCCAGTGTTTCCAAGTGGTAGTACCGCACAGAGCCCAGAAACAGACTCCGTGCAACACTACCACTTTTAAGTACCCTCTCTCCCCCCTCCATTTGCTGCCTCTATCTGATACAGGCAGTGCAGGGGGGGGGAGAAGGGGAGGGAATCGACTAGTAGACTCGACTATCTGATAAGCATTTGCTTATCGGATTGTCACCTAGTCTTTAACATCCTTATTTCACATAGGAATGTAAGCAAGTAGTTGAGTACTCAACTACTTGCTTCTGCCCCCTGATACAGAAGCAACAAAGGGGGAAATACAGCAGCTATTGCTGGGGGGAGCCGGCTTAAAAGTCAGACCTCCCCCCCAGCCCTGTCTCCGCGGTGCAGCCTTCCCCCCTCTGCTGCTGTCTCTATCAGAGGCAGAAACCGGGGGAGGGAGAAAGGGGGATGTTAGGGGAGGTTCATGGCTTGCGCTGAGTTTGTGAGCTACCCCGGCTGCAGCTCTGCAGTTTAAATGTAGTAAGAGCCTCGCAGCTCTTACTACACTTAAAATGCAGAGCCACAGTGGTCCAGCTCTGATTGGTCCAGGAGCTACCCCCACTGCAGCTCAAGCGTATTAGGAGCCGGGCTGTCCACGCATACCTGGCTCCAACTAAATTTAAACTGCAGAGCTGCAAAGGGTTAACTCCTGGAGTGGCACCGAGTGGGGACAAAGCACCTCCCCTTATCAACTAATCATGTCGTCAATCCAAATTGTATGAACTATATGATTAGTCAATTACTCACCTTTTAGCATCCTTAGTTTCACAGTCTGTTGTATTCTCACCCCATTGACACAAGGTAAAAGTCAATAACTAAAAAGTGAAATTATGACTGCCTACATGTGTACCAACTATAAAGGTTACTCCTGCAAAGCTACTTTGTGGAGGGGAAAAAAATCCATAATGTTCCATTGTGTCCAAGCAATAAGATAACTGTGCAATTGGAAACAAAACTTTTGTATCGTAAAATCACAACATTCCCACTACAGTGGCTGAAAATTGTAGCTTAACACTGTTGATGTGAATAATTTTTCAATTCTTAAGCAGTGATGTTTGTAAACAATATTTATACACACTAGGGGGCTGTGCCATGTTCACCAACCCCCTCCCGCCTCTCCAGAGCACCAGGCAGGCCACATGGCTCCTGCCCCCTGGAGCACTGGGGAGGGAGGAAGGACCTCCGGCAGCTGAGTGGGGGAGGGCTGACGGGACACAGAGTGACGTGCTGACATCCCTCTGTAGTCCCACAGGAAACGTTTTTTATATATAGAGAGAGATTATAAACCTACCTAGTCCAGCAAGTTTTAATAAATAATTTTAATACGAAATTGTAACTGATGCCCCCTCCTTTGTAGGCTACTGTGAAATAATAAAAGGAACATGAAGCTGAAGGTTGAATTCCTTACTTCCAGCTCCTCTGACTTAAGTATGATCTCAGACATATCACAACCTCTTTGCCTCAGTTGCCCCACAGACAAAAATGTGAGATAATCCTTATTCACCTTTATCATGTTGTCAAATAAGATCTGGAGGTCATTACTGGTTAGTTCAGAGGAATAAGTACACTGAATCTGGAATTTATTCCTGGCCCCCTCTCTCATTCACCATTTTATCTTACGTAAATCATGTTGCCACTCACCCTGATTATAACCAGTTTAGAGCACAACCATGTTACAAACCAGTGGTCCCCAACCTTTTGGGGCTGCTGAGTGCCCGGGGCAGGGCCACTCTAACACCGAGAACCCGGGGACGGGGCCACCCATATGCCTCGTGCCCGGTGCTGGCGCCACCTGTGAGCCGCACTCCTGGGGCTGGCGCCGCTCCTGTGCCACACGCCCAGGGGTGGGGCTGCCCATAAACCACACGTCCGGGGCTGGCGCCGCTCCTGTGCCATGCGCCCAGGGGCAAAGATGCCAATACGCTGCGCACCCAGGGGCTGGCACTGCCCATGCGCCTGGGGGTGGGATCGGCCCCAATCACTGGGCGGGCGCACAGAAATGGCCCAGCGGGTGCCATGGCACCAGCGAGCACCGCATTGGGGACCACTGTTACAAACCATTTCCTAGATTTACACTCTATTTATAGAGCAGACAGACTTATAGAAGCACTGGGAGGCATTATACATATAAATCTTTTCAAGGTTCTCTGATAAAAAGGTACTTTTTAAAATGCAAAGTAGGGATATACAATCCCATTTAATTAGTTAACTGGTTAGACATTAAGTTTGACAGGTTAACTGATTAAACGGGTGTGGGTGGGGGCTGTTCCAGGCCGCTAGGCTCCCATGGGCTGGGATCTGGCAGCCTCGTGCAAGGAGATGGGACAGAAGATGGGGTGGGGGAGAAAAGATGAGACTGCTGGCTCCCAGCTCGAGTCGCCTTGGCTCTGCCCAGATCCCCTCCACCCTCTGCCCCCCAGCATCATCTGGAGCATGCTGCACAGGGCTCCAGTCAAAGGCCCAGGGCTCCTGCTGCTGCCACCACTACCAGAAACACCAGGCCACTTTGAACCACTGGGGCCCAAGACAACTGCCACCTTCCCCTTTCACCTACCAATCCCCTTTCAGCAGGCTTGGGGATGGGCCATGATCTGACATCCTTCAGAGAATCTAGTGCTACTATAGGGCATTAACTTCACACCATTTAACACTGCTAATCTGTCTGGCTCTTTTATAGCCCCATTCCTTCCCAATCTTTGTTCACTTAGGGATGGGGAGCTGAATCCAGCCTCCAGTTTGCTTGGCTCCAGCCCCTGAAGCTCAGGGCTCCCTCCCCGCTTCCCAGCACCAGGGAGCTGATGCTGGTGCTCCAGCCCCCCTCCTCTACCCCTGCTACCTCACTGCAGGGCTGGAGCACACAAAATCTATTAGGCTAGGCCCCTCTAGGCTCTGGTGTGTGAGGGGAACATAAGGAGTATCTTTCTCCTTCTCAGTCAGGGGCCACATCAGTGTGGGGTTTTTTGTGTGTCCTCCCCAATTGTGTGCAGCCCCCCTCTCCCTGACTGATTTTTCTGTGGTTCAGTGGCCCCTGACCCAAAAAAGGTTCCCCACCCCCACATTAAGGAATGCTTACCAGGTAACCATTTGCATCTCTAATGCAAAGTTACATTATAGAGTTCAGGCAACGAACACAGGAACTAAAGCTCTATTTTGAAGCATACTTCCCCCCCCCTTTAACAGTCACCCATAACCTTCCCAAGCACATTACCTTCACGGATAATTTTTACAAACTTGTTCTCAGATCATAGTTGTTTAAGTTTGAGATAAATTAATCCAGTTATTTTTGAGTAAAAGGAAAGCTACAAAAACATGACTTCAAGACTTTGACCAGCCTTTAATTAGCTTCATATAACTTAAAAGCAGCCAATACTATATATTCCCAATTTGCCATGATTTTAATACTCACTGAGGGAGGAAACAGCAAGTTAAATATTAAAGTACAAATGTTAGGTATTATGTAATTGAATAGCCATGTAACCACATGAAATCTTAGTGGTTACAGGACTATTCGAGAGTCCCCAGGGGTGGGGCGGGCAGCCAATACACTCCCAGCCTCATTCTTGGGGAAGCTCCTGCCTCCTCATGCTGCTGCCTCTATGTCAGAGGCAGCAGCAAGGAGCAGCTGCAGCCCCTGTCCCCAAAGGAGCAGAGCTCCCCATGGACAGAGGCTGTTCCATGGGATGCAGAGCAGTCTGTCTGTGGGGAACTCAAGACCCCCAGCAGATAGAAATGGCTCTCTCAGAACACCCTGTGTCCACAGCAGGTCCAGGCTTACCGCAGACTGCAGCTGCTCTGTGCGATATGGAGCAGCCTCTATCTGCAGGGAGTTCGGCCACTTGAAGACAGAGGATGCTTCGTGTCAGCTTCCTCTGCCTCCCCCACCCCTGCTGCCTCTAGTGGCTGGGGGTGGGGGAGGAGAGGGCACCAGGGAGCTAGTGCTGGATGGAACCAGCTTTAAGCCAGCTCTCCCCAACACCAACTCCTGCCTGCCTCCCCTCCGCTGCCACTGTAGGAGGCACACCGGGGGAGGGGAGAGGGAGAAAGGGCAAGTCCACGGGAGCCAATATGCATGGGGAGCCTGCTTGAAAGCTCCCCATGTGTACTAGCTCCCACCTGCCCCTTCCCCCCATGCTACTGCCTCTATCAGAGACGGCAATGTGGGTGCTAGGCAGGCAGATCTGGTGGTCATGGGGAGCTGACTTAAGAGGCATCGGGAGGAAATAGGTGTAGTCGACAATTTTAACCACTAAACCCAGGATCATTGATTACCATTCACTTGTCTACACTGTGACATCCCTATATGAAAAGAGTATTTTTAAATATGTGCAAATTACATAATCCAACTCTGATCCTCCTGCCAGGTAACACTCCAGCGTCTCCGGTAAGGTGCTCCAGCACGACGTTTCTTTTGCCCGCAGTCTCTCACCCTTGCTCCCTGCAGGGCTTTGAAAGCCAGGATCATTGATTACCATTCACTTGTCTACACTGTGACATCCCTATATGAAAAGAGTATTTTTAAATATGTGCAAATTACATAATCCAACTCTGATCCTCCTGCCAGGTAACACTCCAGCGTCTCCGGTAAGGTGCTCCAGCACGACGTTTCTTTTGCCCGCAGTCTCTCACCCTTGCTCCCTGCAGGGCTTTGAAAGGGACGGCGGGCTCGCTAGCTAGCAGGCCGCCGACACACGTGGCAGGGGGAAAGGCTGGCCGGGCGGCGCCCCCGCCCCGCC